CAATATAAATTGGAATAGAATTTTTCCACCTATTGCTATGTAGCCCAATCATTTAGTCTCATTTCAAAAAAAAGGAAAAAGTAATTGGTAATGTTGTATCATGGCTCGATTTAGCCGATTTTAAATTATTTTTTTCCAAAATAATATTACAAGTCTCGAGATTTCGTTTATAGGTGTACAAACAAACCTTTTTAATGAGAAAAATGTCTAGGCTTGCACAATATTTTTTGGCTATAGTATTGGGTTAGCCGTTTTTATAAATCGAGCCATTTAAAACTAGTAATTGTATCAAAATTATACAAATTTTGAAATTATTTTATTATGTAATTTTGTAAAATAATATATACTTAGGATAAAAATATACAATATTAAATGGTATAAATATAATAATTAAATTAATCTTGAAAAATTCGATTTTTTCCTCCCTAGAAACCGCATAATTTTACCTTACCTTTTGTAAATAAATATTTTTTAAATTTTAGGCATAATATAAAAATATTTTATAATATAGGAATTATTATAATAAAAAAAAAATCGCCAGGACACGATATTTTTAAAATTCTATCCGATTCCATAATGATGTTGGAATCCTAGACTATACCAGTCAAAAAAATTCATCTCTTTTTTCTCAATTTATCGTCTATTTGCATATTTATTTTGGCATTAAATTATTTTGGTTGCGCGTTTACAAAAACATGGTATCAGATTATTAAACAAAAATTTGGCAAAAAAAATATAAAATATATTAAGTAATTAATAACATAGCAACTCACTTTTTTACTTATAATAAAAATCTTGATTTTAAAGTATAAGATTATTTAATTATTTCGATAAAATCGAATATAATAACCAATTACGTTAATTAGAGTTGTAAAGTATAATTTCGAATGCTTATTTTGTTGTCTTATGTATGATACGTAATATAAAATATAGGAGAAAATATTCCGAAAGTTGGTAATAATATAACATATGTAAGTGTTACTTAAATTCCAATTTGAACGTAATATTAATTAATCCTCACCAGGCCCAGAGACCTTCATGTGCCTTAATTTTTTGGCCAAGCCCGACCCAGGCCCGCAATAAAATATTTTTTTGGCCCAAGCCCGGCACGGCCCATATTTAATGTTAAAAAAAATTCCCAAGCCTTTTATAGTCAAAACAATATATTCTTTATTATAAAATTGTTTCCTATATATAGTCTTTTATAATTATGTCATTTAACTTCTACTAATATGCAATTACATTGACCTCCATAAGATAATATAAAATGTAAGAAAGTTATATAATTCAAATAGCGTAACCATTCAAATATAACAAAGCCCATAATAAGTTTCACAAAAATTTCCCAAGCCCATATACAAAAATTTAATTTTTTTTATTTAATGAAAATTAACAATATTTAAATGTATTTATACAATCATTTTGTTTACAATACTGAAATTTATTATGATTAGAAGAAAAAAAAGCAATATTTCATTAAATTAGCAACTGTTTAAATAATTTAAATTTAATAATTTTAGGCCCAAGCCCATTAAAAAAATTTTTAAAAACCCAAGCTCGGCCCATGAAGGTCTCTGATCAGGCCTTAGACCACATTTAGTTAAGACGATGGAGATCAACGGTTCTGCTCAGTACCAATGTCAACTGGATGAGGATTGATCTTTAGGACTAATCAAGACCAGTTAGGCTTTAAAATGTGGACCATTGATTTCCATTACGCTTAGGTACATATCTCAGAGGTTTAACAAATCTGGGTTTTTGTTAAATTTATAAAACTTAAATCATTTATGTTAATACCACTCTGGTAAGATCCGGGTTTTCAAATTTAAAAATCGCACCTAATTTAAATGTTAAAAGTTTGTCAAAAGCCCGGGGAAAGCATTGCCCTGAATTGGCTTAACCCCTTTATGGCATAATTATAATGCAGTATTATATACTATAATAAGGTTAAACATTTTATTTGTGGATGCACCCGTTTTTATTTCGTTTTATGCGCGTTCTGCCCAAAGTATATATCGTCCTTGGGGCGCGTCCCTAAGTCCTGAAAAGAAAATACCGGCTCAGGGCGGAGGTTTGACCTTTTCTACTTAACATAAATCGAAAATTCTTTCTTTGCCTATGCAAAACATTAAGTTCGTTATTTAATACCTTTTATCACAAGTGATGATGTATAACTCAGAAATCTGTCAATGTTAAAATTTTTAGACTCGACCGGGTTGTTTAGTTTTTTCCCTATCCAGTTCAGCCAAATTTTTACTCGGACCGGCCGGTTGGCTTGGTTTTTATAACTAAAAGCTACTATTTATATTATTGGGAAATGGTTAAATTAAAAACGCCACACTTTATGGATTATCACTTCTGGGTCATTCCACGTGAAATCAATCAGGTTTCGTGGACCATCGACGAAACCTTGCATAATGATTGTTTATGTTGCGAGGACCTATGTAATTTAATTTTTTAAGCTTCAATTTAACTAGTTCCGGAGATATGGCATGTCAAAGTTTTAAAAAAATGACATCCTTCCTAATTTGGAAAACCGGATAAATATATAGATTACTAGCGGTGTACCGATACCACTTTTTGGAGGCCAATCCGATCCGATATCATATCTAATTTTGTATTCTGTAAAGATACCAATGGTTCTAATTTTTAATATACTTTTTATTATTATAACATCTATAATCTAACATACCATAACTTATGTCATTAAAATATATTATAATGATCAGTTATAGTTTATATTCAATTCAATTGCAATCCTAAAAGTATATAAAATATTTTTATTGTTAAATTACTTAATTACATAATAAGTAATAACATTAATCTATATACATTAATAAGTAATAAACAAATATATTATGAAATTTGAAATAAATATTTAAAATAATATTTAACATTAATATATCGAAGATTTCTTTTTGGAAATACCAAAATTTCCAATTTATCAGAGGTCAGTTTGCGGTGATGGGGACTATATCACTAGCTTCACTAAAAACAGATTTTGAAGAGATTATTGCACACTTTTATAAACAGAATCCAAAAAAAAAATAACAATATGGCAGAATGTTTATTAACTAATTTTTACTACTAAAAAAATTAAACATAAAAATAGATTTCAATTTTATTTATAAAAATAAATGGTTTTTAGATATATTTTCTTAAAATTTTATAATATTTTATTTTTTTTAACGCCATTTTGTATACAATTTTTTAGAAAATCTTCAGTTCAAGCAGATATTAAAAAAATTAACCTTTATCTTTTCAAGAAACAAAAAAAACCCTGAGATTTAAATAAAAAATTTTTTAAGAAAGGAATTCGAAGGTTATCTAATGATACCAAATATAGATCTACTATTTATATTTTCTGAGTAATCTTTATTTTTATCGGTTTTTCCAAATTAGGAAGCACACTATTTTTTAACTTTAACCCACCATGTCTTCGGAACTTAAGTTAGAGTTTTAAAAAAATTAAATTGCATAGGTCCTTACAACATATATTATCGTAATGTATAGTTTCATGGAATGGCCCTTCTATTAAATATCAGAATTCCTCAATAATCCGCCTAACTTCTATAAAATATCAGAATTCCTCAATAATCCGCCTAATAATTTTTTTGCCCGGCCGAAATTTAAAAATTTCAGAAGTTACTTGGGCTGGGTATTGCACACCTCTAGTATAGGTTGATTTTTTAAATCTGTTTTATTAAAATTTAGATAGCTTCGTAATTTTATCCTACAAAAAATATTTTTGTTTTCGAGTAGCGTCTACGACAGTCGGCGAGTGAGTATGTCACACGATAGTTCTGGGTTTGAATCCAACAAAGATCAGATTTTTTAGGCCAACTAAGTGGTTCTGTGCTACGGGGCATGATTATAGAATAACGTAACAGCGTGATTCCGTTAATATTATTTTTTAAAAATAAGTGGGTCTTATTGCATTTTAGTAAAATTTGGTCGTTATTTGGTAAATCAACGCTATATATCATTACCTTTTATCTGCGAATATCACAAAAATTGTGAATTCCTTCCATTTATTTAATAATTTCGCTTTTTTGAAATAAAATAGATTTTTTCTAAATCTTGGATTATATCTTACTTTTATAAAATATTTTTTATCTTCTTTTGTCATTATTCAATAGTATAGTAATTTAAAAAAAAATAAAAAATGGGGGACAATATTTTAAAAATAATTTATGTTTTTGTCATATTTGTTTGATTTGTACAAAATGATATTTTTAATATTTCAAGCCACGAATTCGCGGTGATGTATACAAAATTTATGTATTTATATTTCGCCGCGAATTCGCTCTCACTGTAAATGCAGGAGTAGGCTAGAATCTCACGAGGACACCGATTCTAATTTTAATGGGTTGTTTGCCTTAGGATATTATTTTAAAAATGATAACATAATTCTTTCACGATTTTTTTTTGATAGCTACCAAAATTTCTCAAACAACTGCTCAAAATATTAAATTTTAAAAGATTTTTCATCCATGAAGAACAAAAAAAGGAAGATTTGTTTGATAATGCTAAAGAAAGATTTTTGATAAAATTTTGTCCAAAATCTAAATATTTTTTTGTAAAAATCTTTTATTGTGATTTTTATGCTTAAAAAATCTTTCATGATGAAATCACAGTTTTTTTATAAAAAATCTTCAATTTTGTTGATTTTCAATAGCATTTTAAACGGCTCGATTTGAAAAGGACTAACTCAACATTTTAGCCAGAAAAATATTGCCATTTCACTAAAAGATGTCCAAACCTTTGTACCATCTATAAGCTAAATCTTGAGGCTTGTAATATTTTTCTGGATAAAATATTTAATAAGCCGTTTTTAAAATTCGGCTCAAATCGAGCTGTTTAACAACACATCGAATAAAGAATCTCAAAGGCTCATTTGGAAATTTTCATTAACCCCTGTTAAATATGTTTACTCAAATAAAGAAAAAATTTAAATAACTATATTTGTATTTATTATATAAACACGCCTTGCAATAAAGGATCAATAACGATAAGTGCGGGGAATTTACAGCCTGGGGAAACTTGAGCAACTGTTTTAAGATGAATTCTGAGTTCGGAGAGGCCGTCACGTGTAACGAAAAACAGCTGTCCATATCTCGCTCCTTAAATGATAAAGTGATATAATATACCTTTGATCATAATATTTTATTATATCATTATATACTAATATTCTAATATAGATATTTATTATTTTATTATGGTAATTTTTATCAGTGTGGCGGAATCGGCTAGTTTAACTCAATCTTCTGGCGCCTGGCGAAAAAAATCCTGTAAGCCTTGACGCGCGAGTTGATTTTTCTTTATTCGTTTTCCACAGTTAAGCCGTTTTCAGAATTGGCTAAAAAGAGAGTGATTTATTAATACTAAGATATGACCCTTTATAAGAGGCTTTACTTCAGTTTTACATATATTTGGAGTACTATTATGGGCGCAAGAACGATTCAAATTTTGATATAATTTAGTTTAATATTATCGATAGCCATGTGCGATAGCCTTTTTCTAATATTCTTAAAATTTTTATAGCCAATGAGAAGGAATTAATTATCAAAATTCGTAACTTTTCAATGAGAAGAATGATAGCTATGTATATCGTAGACGATTTTTTTGTCTGAAACCATAAATGGAACAAATTACTTGGCGTCTTTTTGATTATGACTACTTTCGCATTTGGAATTTACCGACATAATAAGAAATCAATAGCAAGTTCTAAAAATTTTAATTAATTTATTTTGATTGAAAGAAATTATATCAAATGCATGGAAATTTTGCGTTTTTTACGTCTAAAAAGTCATTTTTAAGATTTTTTAAAATATTTTGTCAATAGGATATAATTAATCCTATTGATAGTCATACTCATAAGCGTAACCATGGGCTTACATTCCCTCCATAGTTGATTTTTATAGTAAGAGACTACCGCTAGCTGTTATTTTACTTAAAAACGTAAACAATAACTGTTATTGCTATGTGCAATTGGGAAATTTTTTAATCTAGTCCCATAGACCTTTCCTTCTCCATTAGACATTTTTAAAGTTTTTTTGTAATTTTTTATATTGGTTAAATAATTTATTTTTAGTACCAAATAGTGTTGCGTAATCGGCTAATTTTAGCCGACTACAAACGGCTAAAACTAAATTAGTAAAATATTCTGCATCGGCTAATCGTCCGTCAGCGTTCCGTAAGATATGCCTAGCATTAATTATTATTTAATTATTTTAGTGAAATAATTTATTTTGTTTGTATTTAATGTAAATATTTTATTATTATCAACTAACATGATGATTAAATATTTTTTTATTTATATTATTATATTATGAAAGAAAATCAATTTATTTATTTGATGTTTTTTTAATAAAATAAATGATATGCTGCATTTTAATATTATTTTTGTTACAATTTATTAGTGATTTTCACGCCTGAAATTTTAAGCAAAAAGTATTTTTTGAAGTTCAAAAAGAAATTTCAATATATTTTGATTTGATAAGAAAATTAAATCACATTTGTAAATAAATCTATTTTTTGAGGAATTCTTTTGTAAATTTTATTATACGTGATATTAAGCGCATTAGCCCTAAACCTCGTACATATAGCAAAAGTTATATATACAACAGAGCAACGCTTGGTTCTCTTATGGAAAAACCCATCAAACTGGGATAAAAAATGGGAAAATAATTAAGAGGACCATCCACGATTTTTGGGCAGGCCGCAGTTACCTGTGCGATCAATTTTTTTTATCATTTTTGTAAAATTATCTTTTGATAAGTATATTAAAAGAGGTGGTTTTTTCTAAATAATTTTTTAAAAATATTTATATTTGGAGTGTACCGATATCACTTTTTGGAGGCCGATCCGATATTCCCGATATTAATTGTATTCTGTAAAGATACCAATGGTTTTAATTTATAATATACTTTTTTTTATTTTATAACATCTAATATTTAATTATACCATAACTTATGTCATTTAGATATATTATATCAATTCTATTGCAATTCTAAAAGTATATAAAATATTTTTATTGTTAAATCATTATATAATAAGTAACAACATTAATCTATATACATAATATTTAACATTAATATATGGAAGATTTCTTTTTAGAAATATATCAAAATTTCCAATTTATCAGAAACCAGCTTGCGGCGATCGTAACTGTCAATATCACCAGCTTTACTAAAAACAGATTCTGAAGAGATTATTGCACACTTTTATAAACAGAATGCGCACAAAAATAACAATATGGTAGAATGTTTATTAATTAATTATTATTATTAAAAAAATATGGATTTCGATTTTATTTATAAAAATAAATGATTTTAGATATAACTTTTTTTTAAAAATTTATAACATTTTGTTTTTGTTAAAGACGCCATTTTAGATCGGATCGGCAAATTTTTTAATATTGGCCGATAACCGATATTTTAAAATAAATGAAATATCTGCCCGATCCGATAAAAATATCGGTACATTCCTAATTTATATTTAAAAATTTTAATGTTATTTTATATGATCTTTTTATAAGGATAATATTTTAATATGATAATTGTCATATTCGTTATTTTTTAACATCTTTTAACACAAAGGGGTAATATAATTTATAATATATTGTAAAGATGTTAAATTATAAATTCCATGAAGATGTTCCTTGGAAAAATGATAATCGGTATTTTAAACATTTTAGATTTATTTTAATGCTAATGGGCAAAATATGTATTTTTAACATGTTAAATAATTTCAATTAAGATGTACCATATAAAAGTCACAATTGTCAAAATCGTAATTTTAAAAGTTTTTTAAATTTTTTTGATGTAAATGGGTTAAAATAAATATTTTTAACATGTTTAAATAAAACTTCAGTAAAGATGTACCTTAGATAAGTGACAATTGTCATAATCGTTATAAGTTTTTGAATTTTTTTGACGAAAATGGGTAAAAATATAGAATGTAAGTTTAAATAAAATTTTTTGAAGATGTACCATAGAAAAGTGACAATTATCATAATCGTAATTTTTAAAGTTTTTTGAATTTTTTTTGATGAAAATAGGATAAAATAAGCATTGATAACATGTTTAGATAAAACTTCAGTGAGGAGTAACCTAGATAAGTGAACATTGTCATAATCGTTATTTAAAGTTTTAATTTTTTTTAATGCAAATAGGTAAAAATATAGATTGTAAATATGTTAAATTAAAATTTCATAGATGTACCATAGAAAAGTGACGATTGTCATAATCGTTATTTTTAAAGTTTTTTGATTTTTTTTACGCAAATTGGCAAAAATATAGATTGTTAGCATGTTAAAAATTTAGTGAAGATGTACCATAAAAAAGTGACAATTGTCATAATCGTTATCTTTCAAGTTTTTTGATTTTTTTTGACGAAAATAGGTTAAAATAAGTAGTGATAACATGTTTAAATAAAACTTTATTGAGAAAGTACCCTAGATAAGTGATAATTGTCATAATCAGTATTTTTAAAGTTTTTTGAATTTTTTTGGCGCAAAAAGTTAAAAATATAGATTGTAAATATGTTAAATTAAAATTTCATGAAGATATACCATAAATAAGTGACAATTGTCATAATCGTTATTTTTAAAATTTTTTGACGCAAATGGGCAAAAATATAGATGGATAGCATGTTAAATTAAAAATTTAGAGAAGATGCATCGATAAGTGACAATTATCATAATAGTTATTTTTAGAGAAATTTGAATTTTTTTTGACGCAAATGGCTTAAAATATAGATTGTAAATATGTTAAATTAAAAGTTCTTGAAGATGTAGCATAGAAAAATGACGATTGCTATAATCTTTTATTTTTAAGGTTTTTGACTTAAATGGCTAAAAATACATATTGTAAACATGTTAAATTAAAAATTCATGAAGATGTAGCATTGAAAAGTGACAATTGTCATAATCGTTATTTTTAAAGTTTTTAGAATTTTTTTGATGCAAATGGATTATAAAATATAGATTGTAATCTATTTTTACCATATGTTTATAAAATTCAAAATCTCAACTTAAATTTATAGGATGTTGATTGTATTGATAAATAATATTCATTTGATTTTTAAGTTCTTTTCATAAAATTCTTACCCTGAATTCAGACTCAGCACGATTTCGCCGTTAATATACATTTTTGCTAACTGAATGCAGAGTTATACGTAGAATTAAAATTTATTAATTAAAGGAATAAGATTGTGAATCCATGTCTTAAAGGTTTAGAATTTAAATGAGTTACAGCCCTCTTTAGTAATCACTTTATATATTTTTATCAAATTTTAAGCAGGATAAAAGGGACGATTAGAAGCTTGAAAATTGACATTTGTTTTTTTGTTTCGCCAAATGGTAAAAACACATTTTTCAAAAAATAAGGAACGAAGATTGTGATAATTGGCACTTTTCTAAATTATTTCAATAAAATTTAAACATAATATTTTTTTGGTGTTTAAATTTCTCAAAAAATATTAGAAAACTTTAAAAATAACGATTATGAAAATTGTCACTTTTTTATGGTACATCATCACGAAATTTAACATATTTACAATCTAAATTTTTACCCATTATCTTCAAATTAAAAAACTTTAAAAATAACGATTATGACAATTGTCAGTTATCTATGACTATACATATTGAAATAATTTAACATGTTTACAATCTATATTTTTACCTATTTGCGTCAAAAAAATTCAAAAAACTTTAAAAATAACGATTATGATAATTTTCACTTATCTAGTGTACATCCAGAGTTGGGCAGGTCCACCGGAAAAAGAATCTAGATACAGATTCTTTATAAAAAAATGAATCTTAGATACAGATACTTATCTTTTCCTAAATATCAAAAAGATACAAGATAAAAGATACTTGTATTTTTTACTAAATTAGAGTATCTTAAATACAAGATACTTTAAATTATCATTACCAATTAAATTAGAATAGTTTATAGAATACAGTTTTTATTATTTATTTGTGAAGAATAAAGCATACACATATAAGAATGAATATTTGCAATAATTAATAAAATATTTATTGATGAATAAATTATAATAACCTGGGATTTTAATATTAATTTTTGCCCATTAATAGCTTAAACAGGGAAGGGAGAGTAGTATATTTAATG